CAACATTGGCTTCTCTTATGTTCTCTTACATTCTTAAATCTAATCTCCTCTCTTCTTCTTCTTCTTCTTCTCCTCCTCCTTTTTCCTTCTTCTTTAGCGTTTTTGATGTCACCTGGTATTTTTGGCCACTGTGAGACACAGAGTGTTGGACTGGATGGGCCATTGGCCTGATCCAACATTGGCTTCTCTTATGTTCTCTTATGTTCTTAAATCTAATCTCCTCTCTTCTTCTTCTTCTTCTTCTCCTCCTCCTTTTTCCTTCTTCTTTAGCGTTTTTGATGTCACCTGGTATTTTTGGCCACTGTGAGACACAGAGTGTTGGACTGGATGGGCCACTGGCCTGATCCAACATTGGCTTCTCTTATGTTCTCTTATGTTCTTAAATCTAATCTCCTCTCTTCTTCTTCTTCTCCTCCTCCTCCTCCCTCATTAGCATTTTTGATATTGTGCAATTCGTAGTGTAGAGTACGCAAGACAAGCTACTTGGGAGGGAGCCCGTTTATTGCTGACGCACATTACAAGAAATTCTTACAGAAGAACAACCACTGGGCAACCGTGAAAACAAGAGACCTCCCAACCCAGAAACGAGTGTGCCTAATTATTAAAAATATCTGCTTGTGCCCTTCCCTGGGTCTTCCAGTGACAATCAAGTCCAGCTTGGCAGTGTAAGGGCACTCGTGTTTGACCCTCAAGTGCAGAGAGCATGTGGTGCGAGGTCATTTCCTACCAGACCCCTCCAGCGTTCTTCATGTCTTGCCAAAACACCACCGTGGCTGCTTGTTTGTTCTTAAAGAACCATTCTACTCTGCTGAGATAAATCTGTGATAGAGGCACATGCGACCTGGTTTGGGGTCCCGGGCATGGTAAGGAAGGGGGCTCGTGCTGTGCTGTGGGGGCAGGGGTTCAGGAACTGGCTGGCGGTGGGGTAAGGGGCCAGGGCTGGGTGATCCCTACGGGGACTGAAGCTATGACGGCTGGTCCTTTTACCTGGCTGGGCGCCAGGTGTTGGCATATTGGACCTGTCCTGGGGGTCTGGTCCAGGTCCACTTGGGGGGCTGCCACTGTGCTGGGGGTCGGGTTCTAGGAGGCCAGGCGCCCCCTCCCTGCCAGTTCTGCTGCCCATAAGCAGAGCCCTGTGTCAGAGGTGGGGGGCGTGTTCTGGGAGGCCAGGTGAGCCCCACATTCCAGTTCTGCTGCCCATAGGGACGAGCTGGGGGACGAGTTCTGGGGGGCCAGCTTAGCCCCACGTTCCAGTTCTGGGTTTGCTGCACATAGGGAGTGGTGGGTGGAGGACGAGTCCACCCCTGGTTCCATCCGTAGGCAAGCTGTGTTTGCTGTAACTGGGGTGGGGGGGTCGCTGGAGGGAAGGTGGGCCTTGGACGAGAGTTAACCCAGTTGGCAACCTGCTGGACCTCGTGCTGGGAGATGGGCTTCCAGGGCTTGCGTCTTGTGGTGGAAGTGGTCGTCGTGGGCCATGTTTGTGGCCTGGAGTATGATCCTGGGCGGCGAGCAGGGGTCAGGAATTTATCCTTGGTCTTCCCTTTGATCCAGTCAAGGAAATCCTGTGTGGAGCTGTAGACCCCAGGCTTCCGGGTCCTGGCACAGCCATTCCCCCAGCTGGTGACTCCGACAACCCAAAAGCGCTCGGACCTTGCTTCTCTACACGCGAGGGGGCCGCCACTGTCACCCTGTGGGAGGAAGGAGAAGATGAAGGTGTCAGGAGAAGCAGGTAGCGGGTCAAGGAGCACCAGGGGTATGAGCTAGCTTATCAATGAGCAGACAACGGAGAGATACAGGCAACCTGTCAGGGAGAAGGAATGATGAGGGGCAAGTTTCAATATTGTCACAAAGGTCCTTTCCTCATTAGACCCTAAATACTGGTTCAACCTTGTCCCTGAACTTACACTCTACACTACACTCGAGATCACCCCTGTAATTATCTCGGGGTATTTT